CATGACCCCAAACTTATGGGATGCAGCAAAAGCAGTTCTAATAGAGAAGTTTATAGCAACACAATCTCACCTCAAGAAACAAGAAAAATCTCAAATAAACAATCTAAACCTACACTTAAAACAACTAGAGAAAGAAGAACAAAGAAAACCCAAAGTCAGTAGAAGGAAAGAAATAATAAAGATGAAAGCTGGTTCTTTGAGAAGATAAACAAAATTAATAAACCCTTAGCCAGACTCATCAAGAAAAAAAGGGAGAAGACTCAAATCAACAGAATTAGAAATGAGAAAGGAGAAATCACAACTGGCACTGCAGAAATACAAAGGATCCTGAGAGACTACTACAAACAACCATATGCCAATAAAATAGACAGCCACAAAAAAATGGACAAATTCTTCGAAAGGTACAATTTTCCAAGATTGAACCAGGAAGAATTAGAAAATATAAACAGACCTGTCACAAGTAATATAATTGAAACCATAATTAAAAATCTTCCAACAAACAAAAGTCCACGACCAGATGGCTTCAGAGGCGAATTCTATCGAACATTTACAGAAGAGTTAACACCAATCCTCCTCAAACTCTACCAAAAAATTGCAGAGGGAGAAACAGTCCTAAATTCATTCAACGAAGCCACCGTTACCCTGATACGAAAACCAGAAAAAGATATCACAAAAAATGAAAATTATAAACCAATATCACTGATGAACATAGATGCAAAAATCCTGAACAAAATACTAGCAACCAGAATCCAACAGCACATGAAAAGGATCATACACCATGATCAGGTGGGATTTATCCCAGGGATGCAAGGATTCTTCAATATACACAAATCAATCAATGTGATACACCATATTAACAAATTGAAGGATAAAAACCATATGATCACCTCAATAGATGCAGAGAAAGCTTTTCACAAAATTCAACACCCATTTATGATAAAAACTCTTCAGAAAGTGGGCATACAGGGAACCTACCTCAACATAATAAAGGCCGTATATGACAAACCCACAGCAAGCATCATACTCAATGGTGAAAAACTGAAAGCATTTCCACTAAGATTAGGAATAAGACAAGGATGTCCACTCTCACTACTCTTATTCAACATAGTTTTGGAAGTCCTAGCCACAGCAATGAGAGAAGAAAAAGAAATAAAATAATACAAATTGGAAAAGAAGAAGTATAACTGTCACTGTTTGCAGATGACATGATACTATACATAGAAAATCCTAAAGATGCCACCAGAAAACTACTAGAACTAATCAATGAATTTGGTAAGGTTGCAGGATACAAACTCAATGCACAGAAATCTCTGGCATTCCTATGCACCAACGATGAAAAATCTGAAAGAGAAATTAAGGAAACACTCCCATTTACCATTGCAACAGAAGGAATAAAATACCTAGGAATAAACCTGCTGAAGGAGGCAAAAAGACCTGTACTCAGAAAAGTATAAGACACTGTTGAAAGAAATCAAGGATGACATAAACAGATGGAGAGATATTCCATGTTCTTGGATTGGAAGAATCAATATTGTGAAAATGACTATACTACCCAAAGCAATCTACAGATTCAATGCCATCCCTATCAAACTAACAATGGCATTCTCACAGAATTAGAACAAAAAATTTTACAATTCTTATGGAAACACAAAAGACCCTGATTAGCCAAACCAATCTTGAGAAAGAAAAACAGAGCTGGAGGAATCAGGTTCCCTGACTTCAGACTACACCACAAAGCTACAGTAATCAAGACAGTATGGTACTGGCACAAAAACCGAAATATAGATCAATGGAACAGGGTAGAAAGCCCAGAGATTAAACCCAAGCACATATGGTCACCTAATTTATGACAAAGGAGACAAGAACATACAATGGAGAAAAGACAGCCTCTTCAATAAGTGGTGCTAGGAAAACTGGACAGTTACATGTAAAAGATTGAAATTAGAACACTCCCTAACACTATACACAAAAATAAACTCCAAATGGATTAAAGAATTAAATGTAAGACCAGACACTATAAAACTCTTAGAGGAAAACATAGGAAGAACACTCTTTGACATAAACCACAGCAAGATCTTTTTTGACCCACCTCCTAGAGTAATGGAAATAAAAACAAAAATAAACAAATGGGACTTAATTAAACTTAAAAGCTTTTTCAGAGCAAAGGAAACCATAAACAAGACAAAAAGACACCCCTCAGAATGGGACAAAATATTTGCAAATGAAACAACAGACAAAGGGTTATTCTCCAAAATATACAAACAACTCATGGAGCTCAATATAAAAAAAACAAGTAATCCAGTTAAAAAATGGGTGGAAGACGTAAATAGACATTTCACTAAGGAAGACATATAGATGGCCAAGACGCACATGAAAAGATGCCCAACATCACTAATGATTAGAGAACTGCAAACCAAAACTACAATGAGGTATCACCTCACGCCAGTGAGAATGGCCATTATCAAAAAATTTACAAATAATAAATGCTGGGGAGGGTGTGGAGAAAAGGGAACCCTCCTGCACTATTGGTGGGAATGTAAATTGATACAGCCACTATGGAGAACAGTATGGAAATTCCTTAAAAAACTAAAAATAGAACTACCATATGACCCAGCAATCCCACTACTGGGCATATACGCTGAGAAACCCATAATTCAGAAAGAGTCATGTACCACAATGTTCATTGCAGCACTGTTTACAATTGCCAGGACACGGAAGCAGCCTAAGTGTCCATCGACAGATGAATGGATAAAGAAGATGTGGCACACATATACAATGTAATATTACTCAGCCATGAAAAGAAAAGAAACTGAATTATTTGTAGTGAGGTGGATGGACCTAGAGTCTGTCATACAGAGTGAAGTTAAGTCAGAAAGAGAAAAACAAATACCATATGCTAACACATATATATGGAATCTAAAAAAAAAAAAAAAAAAGGTACTGATGAACCTAGTTGCAGGGCAGATATAAAGAGGTAGACATAGAGAATGGACTTGATGACATGGGGTGGGAGGGCAAAATAAGAGTAGCATCGACATATACGCCCGAATGTAAAATATTTAGCTAGTGGGAAGCAGCCGCATAGCACAGGGAGATCAGCTCAGTGCTTTGTGAGCACCTAGAGGGGTGGGATAGGGAGGGTGGAAGGGTGATGCAAGAGAGAGGGGATATGGGGACATGTGTATGCATATGGCTGATTCGCTTTGTTGTACAACAGAAACTAACACAGTACTGTGAAGCAATTATACTCCATTAAAGATCTATTAAAAAAATAAAATGGATAACCAACAAAGACCTACTGTATAGTACAGGGAACTCTGCTCAGTGTTATGTAACAACCTAAATGGGAAAATTATTTGAAAAAGAATAGATACGTGTATATGTATAACTGAATCACTTTGCTGTACACCTGAAACTATCACAACATTTTAATCAACTATACTTCAATATAAAATAAAAAGTTAAAAAAAAAAAGATTAAAAAAAATTCCATTCCATATATTCCCAGTTTCTTTTGTAGTTTCTCTCTTCCAGTTTTGGAAATAATTATTTTCATATAGGCTTTCAGCAACTTGTATTATGATGAGTCATGAATACCTAAATTTTTAAAACCAAGACTAACAACTATTATCAAAATTCAGTTTTAATGAGAATCTCCTCTGAAATTCAAATGAGTTGTTAGGTTCACATTTGAACAAGAGGCCTTAGGGTTAAAAACAATCCCAGCTTCCTCTCCGGAGACAAGAAGCAAGACTGCTCTACTGAAATGTTGACCTCTCTGACATAAAACATTTAGTTTGTTGTCATAACAAGCTAGTTTTATTCAGTTATTCAATATTTCATGAGAGATCCATTTTGTATATCTTAGGCCCTGTATTATTCTATAACAATTAAGGGTTCATCAAGGTTTATGTTTGCAAAATGCTTTGTTTTACAGATTAGTGAATCTAATTTTCTCCTCAAAGCCTAAGAAGGGCCAAGATATGCATACTTAATTGTGTATTTTTCCTCCAATCCTGTATTATTCCAAGGAATAATTTTATGTACATACATTTGTGTATGTAAGTGACACACATAAACGTATAACATATATATATATATAATTATTCCAAGGAAAATATTATAAACGTACATTTTCAGCTGGAAAAGAAGCAGAAACCAGTGGGGGAGACCTTAGGCGGTAAATCCTGATGCTTTTTAGCACCAGCTCTGGTCACCTACCCTACCTGCATAACATAGTGGATTTTATTTCTATCGTGTGGAAATCACTGCATGGCCGTCCCATCCTGAAAGATCTTAAAAGGAAGCAAGGTGATGTGGTGAGCACAGCTATCTCTGGTATCATATTATTCTTTAAAATAATGCAAATTAATACACCTAGTTTACTCTTCAAGCAGCAAGGACTGCATATATCACTCCTACATATTTTATTTTCATAGATTAATAGTTTCACAGTAACACCAAACCTACCTACTTAGGAGGAAAAAAATTACTTCTTGGAAAAATCAATACATGCTTTTTCTGAAGACCGAAATCCACTCAGACAACAATCCAGGTTTAGCACACCACACTACATCCTAATGTTTGCAGTACTCCACGTCTTGCCAAAGAATCCATGAATTACTCACTTTTCCCTTAGGACCCAGACTTATTTTCACTTCATGCCTGCCCGTTTCTTTCCCTCTTAACAGCTCAAAAGAACTGAATTTTAAATTTCCACTTCAAAATATCAAAATTTAGGACAACACGATGGACCACACGATCAGGACCTGTATATTGCACACAGGTAATGGTTCGTGTGACGTGCCAGCACTACTGGAGACGCCCTGCTCTTGCTACGTGAAGCCAGGAAGAAGGTCACCGCTGATCCTTGCCGGGTCCTCCACGGGCCCTGGGGAAACAACCTGCTGCTCAAGCACCGCCCCGAAACGCTCCCTGCAAACGCCGAGGCTGCACGCACGCGGCTCGACTGGGCGCCCTAGGAAACTGGCAGGAGCCCACCTGGTCCACGATGTCGTTGACTTTGTCCCGCTCACAGTCTAGGATGACCCGCCGCTCCTTCTTTAGCTCCAGATCCTGGAAGAGCGAGCGGTAGGTCTCATCTTTCTTGTCATTGTTGATGTTCCCCACGTTGATAGCAGTCACTTGCCACTTCTTTTCGGCAGCGGAATCCAGCACCGCCTGCAGGGTGGACAAGCCTAGGAAAGCAGAGAAACAGGGGGACCTGATGGCAAGGCTCGACTTAACGGAGAAGCGTGCTGCGAAACCGACAACGCATCTGGAAGGCTGCTACTTTTCTGCAACGAAGGGATGCTGACGCCTCTAAAAAGCTACAGCTATGATCCTTAGCAACACCCACTCGTTGCCACTTCGCATCGAGAAGTCTTTCCTCTACCTGGGAAAACTGTACCCCCTTCATTCGGGCTTCTCAGCTGTTTTCTTTTGGACATTACCAAAGTGTGATGTTTTAATACCTCTGGGGTTTGGGGGGTTTTGTTTGTTTGGCCACACTGTGCAGCTTGAGGGATGTTAGTTCCCCAACCAGGAATTGACCCCGTGCCCTCCGCAGTGAAAACGCCCAGTCCTAACAACTGGACCGCCAGGAAATTCCCTACCTCTGGTTTTAATGAAATCAAAGGACATCCATTCTTTCTTGTACAGAATAGAAAAAAATATTTCTTTATATACGACAGGCTATCATTTCACATTATTATCCTGAAGACAGTGAGTCTATTTTCAGTGAGATGAATCTAGGTGGGTCTATGCGAGTCTAAAAACCAGTCATCTCTGAAGCTGCTCGATTTCCTCCTATCATTTTCTGGTCGGCAGTTTTTTTTGTTTTTTTTTTTCCTCAGCCTCTGTTATATCATTTTTGTTACTGGGACTAATCCTGTAGAAATTAAATGTTCACCTATTAACCACATGGTAGCAGTTAGTTTTCTAGCACAGATTGGTTACATTTACTTAACTTCCCAAATGTGAGACCACTTTACTCGTCATTAGTAACTTTGCTTATAGCATCATGTGACTTAGGTCATATCGAAAATTGTATTTTTGTTTTTAATTGGTCACACATTGCCTCATACGTAGGATTGGGAGGGAAAACAACTTGGGAACATCTTTCCTAAAGTTAATGCTGCAGTTTAGCACTTGGAAAACTAGTATATAGACTTGTCTTCCATGTCACTTCAACTCTTCACAGCCAACCCAAATTCATCATTTCTATGAATAGCTTAATGAACAACAAAAATTAAGGCCCCACAAAGAATTCAGGACTCATCACATCATCTTCTTTATTCCAGAAAGACAAGAATATTGGACCCTTTTTAACCCATAAAATCTGGGGGTTCCCTAATGTGAACACATGACTCTAGAAGCTTTATTCGTGTACTAAACTTTATCGAAATCTATTTACCACAGCAAAAAATATGTGTATTCTAAATGTTGTTGAAAATTACCTGAACCTGGAAAATATCATTAAAATTCTCATTGATTCCATATTGCCAAGGGTATATAAGATGAGCCTAGAACACCTTGTGACCCCCCCGCCCAAAGCAGGAAGCTCTCCAAAACTATCAGCCCCTTGTCAAAAGACCCCGGAGCAAATTTGATAAGAATCATTTTAAACAGAGATGACGCAGTTGGAATAGCAATAAAAATAATAACTGCAAATGACTTAAATACATACATTTTCTAATCCATAGATTAGTAATGACATTTAAGGAAAATATTTGATTGCCTTTGATGGATGCTAAGGAGTCAAGTTATTATTTTGAAAACTGGTAAATAAAGGTAAAGAAACAAGCATTTTCCCGCCTTTCCTATATGAACTCTACTCAGGGTAACAGTTAAGGGACGTTTTTGCGTTTTTTCGGTTTTATTGGAAAAACTCCAGCTAATAAATGATGAACAAATATAGATTCAGAATTACAACCAATCTTGTAACACCTTGTGAATTAATGAATCAAGGCAAGAATCGTTAACTGCTGCTAACAAAACAAAAAGAGAGATGCGTAGAAGTTATGTGCCTTCAAATGGGGATACTCAACACCACCTATGAAATATTCATGCCAAGAAGTGAACATGAATCTCAGCAAGCATCTAGATCTAGTTACCCTTTTATAACGAATATATGGCACAGAGTAATATGTTAATCAAAGTCCAGACTGTGGGAAACTCTACATTAAAGAGATATGTTAACCAACTGGATATGTGGACCTCACTTTTATCCTGATTCAAACAAACTGTGAAAAAAAAAAAATAGATGATGCTAGTAATGAATTACTGTTAACTTGTCTATATATGATAATGATATTGTAGTTATATTTAAACCAAGAGAATTGTCCTTTCAAAATATAAACTGAAATATTTACAGCTGAAATAACAGGATGTCAGGTATTTGCTTCAAAATAATTGTCAGGGGCTTCCCTGGTGGCACAGTGGTTGAGAATCTGCCTGCCAATACAGGGGACACGGGTTCGAGCCCTGGTCTGGGAGGATCCCACATGCCGCAGAGCAACTAGGCCCGTGCGCCACAACTACTGAGCCTGCGCGTCTGGAGCCTGTGCTCCGCAACAAGAGAGGCCGCGATAGTGAGAGGCCTGCGCACCACGATGAAGAGTGGCCCCCGCTTGCAGCAACTAGAGAAAGCCCTCGCACAGAAACGAAGACCCAACACAGCCAAAAATAAAATAAATAAATTTAAATAAATAAATAAATAAATAAATAAATAATTGTCAGGAGCAGGATAGAGATAAAGCAAGTTTCCTCTTACCCATCACTAATAAAGCTGGCTTAAGTGTCCTTGCAGGTGTTCACATTATTCTGTCCATGTTGTTATTTTAAATATTTCATAATGAAAATTGAAAATAATTTATTTTTATTTCAAATTGAAAAGTCGAAAGATAAATTAAACTTGAAATGAATTTTGTGGGGTTTTTTTGGGCAAAACAACAAAATTAGTTTTGTAACAAAAAATTACACCCAGTCTTGTAACAAAAAATACGGGGTACTCAAGAATTACTCAAGGGATAACTTAAACAGAGACCACATGCCATTGTAAAAAATCTATTAATGATAAAACTTCTTTTAAAAACGTCACAGATCACCTATGATTTCCGTTCACTGTAAGTAAATTAAACCCTTCCAGGATGCATTTCAAATCCTTTTCCTGTTTTTCATCATCAGTGAAGACAGAACCAAAGTTGACCATCATGATCAACTCAACAGCTATCAATGTGCTTGAAAACACTTATCAAGTTTATTCAGTTTTTTTTCCAAGTAGGAAAAAAAGCTAATTTTCTAAACCTTTTCCACTGTCAAGGTCCTACTTTTCCACATTCCAGTCATGATGTGACTCTTCCTTGTCACCTCTTTAAAACAACACATCCGTGGGTGGTGTTCTACATACTACATATTACCATACAGCACTTATACGTAAGCTTCCTTTCTTCTAGGTAATAAATTATTTCATGTTGCTTTCATTTAATTATGAACTTAACCACATACTAAGTTAAAGTTTCAAGTGGTGATGTTCTTGATATTCTGTCCTATCCTTTAACATATATAACAAGAAATTTTAAATATAAATGCCAATGTGTAAATGAATCTCAAGTGATATTTCTAAACTTAACATTTATTGGCAGTTCACCTTGTCCAAAATATGGAGAGGATATATATATAAAATCAATAAAAATGCATTTAAAGAAATAGCTGATTCAAACTCATCCATTTTATGTATCAAAAAATAACTCACAACTGGTGTGGATTCTGTTATTAAAACTCTTAGAATTAATATTTTGTAACCTATGAAACCTAAAAAAAATACATCCATTTATTAAGATGCTAAACTGCCCAAGTGGTACGTAATCAGACGATGAATTTAGTTTCATCAGAAGACACTGAATATTATTCAGTTATCTCCTAAGGACAGCCAGAAATAATTCACAAACCATGGCATGATCTGCCTCACATTTTGAAGAGACTGCTGTCCCATGCTTATTAATCAATATTCTCAGATTTGTTTTTATTTTTTAGTAGTAGCAACTGACTCTCTCAAATACTTTCTCAACTTGATCTGCCCCTTTCCTACAACTAAGAGTTTTGTATTATGTCTGGTTAGTTTAAAATTAATAGATCATTTTAAAATTTTAAAAACTCACTGAAAATGCACATCAAAAATATTAGGGTGAAATTAAATTATTCATACACAACACAAACTGATGCTCTTAGCCTCTTGGTAACATATTCCAATTAGGAGAGAAAGTATTACCTCTTCCCCTTCCACACACACTAGCCTAGAAGTATCTTTATAAATACACTCATCCCTTAATTCAGAATATAAACTTGTAGGGACACTGGGAATTCTATATAAGTATCGGTTTGTTTAAAAACATTAGTAGCTGGTTATTCAACTCTAATATCTGTACCACTAAATCAGGACATTTAAATCCTGGTTTAATTTCTTATTATTTTATTGCTTATGACAAAGAGAACTTGAGATATACTGTTGTTCATCTACAAATAGAAAAAAAATTTGGAAAATTAACTGCTCTTCCTAAGAAATATGTTTAAAATATGTTCTGAAAAACCTCAAGAAGGGCTTCCCTGGTGGCGCAGCAGTTGAGAGTCCGCCTGCCGATGCAGGGGACACGGGTTCGTGCCCCGGTCCGGGAGGATCCCACATGCCGCGGAGCTGCTGGGACCATGAGCCATGGGCGCTGAGCCTGCGCGTCCGGAGCCTGTGCTCCGCAACGGGAGAGGCCACAACAGTGAGAGGCCCGCGTACCGCAAAAGAAAAAAAAAAAAAATCCTCAAGAATATGACAGGAGTATAAAATTAAATGCTCAGGCTTCTAGATAAAATAAAGAATAGCTGAAGTACTGCTACTTACTTCTGTATTACATTACTTCTTCGAGTGCCTAATTGTTGCTGGACTAGTTACAGCTGTACACCCTGTTTATAAGAGGACACTCTCCCTAAAACTCTCTCCAAGAACCATCAGTAGTTCACAGTCGCGTCTTAAGCTACTGCTCCTAAGCCTGTGAAAAAATTACAGAAAACCTTCAGCCCTGAAACAGGTGAAGTCTAAATGCCTTAGTTTGCACATTAATAGGTGGAATTAAAATTGACTACTGCATATAGGTATATTTCATTCAGACCATGTCTTTCTTCTTGAAAATATTTTTTGTTCCATTTAAAATTCACAGCCCTTATTCATCTTTCAGGCACAGAAATTAATATTTTATGATCACTAAATCACAGCGGCATGATTAGATTAACATATATTTAATCTAGGCCAGATTAGATTAACATATATTTCCCTCATTGACTTTCTCAGGAACATCATAAAAGCAATTTATAATCTGGAAGCATTTTTATTCTAGGCATGGTGCCTTTTTTGGAACTGGAATCAATGTGCCTTTCCTTCAGGGGACAAATAGTGTGGTCCAAAATTAAAACCAAGTTATAAAAGCATTAGTTCTGATTTTACCAACTGTCTAGAGAAATGTATGACCTTACCTTATTAACATTGACCCAATAAATAAAAACCACATTTTGATTAAGTCCTGGTTCAAATGTAGTACATATGTATCCAAAGACAAACCTATACTGAATGCATTAACATAGGCAACCCCATGAATCTATATCTCCAATGCATTGAAGATCCATCTACCTACTCTCCCTGCCATCTACCTCCTCTCTCTGGAACTTTTAGGAAGGGTGTTGGGTTATCCATTGAGGAGTGCCAGGCTGCTGCCACACGACTTGGATAAAGAGAAGACACCAGCATTCCTAAAGGGTCACATGGCACCAAGTGAACAGTTTCAGCAATCCTCTCACCGGAAAACTTGAAATAGTCAAAAGCCTATACAAAGATCAGGATGCATCCATGTCTTCCTTTGTCTACAACTGGGATGTAGTCTCCTGAACTTGCTGCTCGGCCTTTGGATGGATAGGTGCAATCTGGAAAGGTTTCACTGGCAGTCCTAGTTAAAAGCAGTGCAAAGAAGCAGCATAGAAAAACTGTGTCCTTTTCATCTAGCTTATATTCAGTGCAGAATGTTGGACAGCCATTCTCATGCTTGGGCTATTCAAAAGAACATCAATTCATATATTTAGAAATTAAAATTTAACAGTATGTTTACCTGATCTAGACTCTCAGAAAATTAAAGATTATTAAAAACAAATCCTTACGGTCAAGGACCT